ACCGGGGCGGTGGGGTAGCCCAGTGGCTGAAGCGTAAGATCGTCACGCCGAAGTCTTGGGGTTCGATTTGCCACATGGGTACAGTGTGTGAATTCCATGCCAGGTGTTCTCCGCTGTTATATTGCTGGAATATTGAAAAAAGCGGCGTAATACGCACTTACCATCATGCAGTTTGGGGCTGCATTGGGATTATCAGGGATTCGTTTCTGTATCAAACTAGCACTCCGTGCGTACAGGTTTACTCTGGAGTTGTGTAAAAGGGTACGAAGTGTGACGTTAGTGAATCGTTCCAGCTCTTCTATTAACTTAACGTAAACGCCTTCCTACTTTCATGTTTTTCTCCCCAAAATTAGAGGTAGTCATCGAGTCATTTTAAAAGGTTAGAAGACCTAAATTTGCATGAGTCCTAAATACTTCACAAATGAATTGTCCTTCTTCACACATAATCAGCACGACATCTTGTTTAAACGTATCTCGCATTACAACAATCAAACTAGTAATCGTATTTTCCTTGTGTCTTGTTATATAAAGCTTACACTCAAATCGTTGATGACTACCTTTAAGCAGTGAAGCCGTGAAGCCGTGAAGCCGTGATATAACTGAAATACTGTTTAGTCGGCTGGTTCACTGTAATTAATAGTTTGTCATTGTATACATGTACATAGTGATGTATCTGGTACATGTACGTACGCTTCATCCATTTGTACATAATGTTCCGTGTATATAACATCATGTCTTCATCGTTCTAATAATCGAATAAAACAATATCAATATAATCGTTCGTGTGTTTGTATATATCTATCTGAAGTATCGGCATGTAGGTATTGTGGCATATCACTTATCCAAGGTTGTATTTATTTACCAAATGAAAAGTGGTTATGAATTTTTCACACATTGTTTATGGGCAGGCTATCATATTGATACAACAATAACATTATTTCGTGGGTACAGAAATTGATTTGTTTGCATGTGATAGAGATACAATCATAATCACATCTAAGGTGTTGACGTTGAAATTAAGATTAAAAATGTGAAACAAAATCCCCACACTCATTTCATAGTCATGATATTATGCTATAGGCGGGAAAGATAGATCCATATGACCATCACCATCACTTATTTTGCTATTTTGTTTTAAAATCCGGATTGATTTCAACGTTATGAAAATGTGTGGGCATGTATAACATTTTGCTCAGCTGGGCCCACAGAGAGATTCTGGTCAGTAAGACTTTATATTTTCATTAAATCGTGTTTGAGTGAGTGAGTGAGTGAGTTGGGTTTAACGCCGCTTTTAACAGTATTCCAGTCATATCGCGGCGTGTCAGCTTAATGTGGGAGGAAAGCCCGAAGTGATGCAGGTCTCAGACGTTTACCACTTCGGTGAAACCCACGAGCACGGGTATGGTGCTGACAAACCTAGAAACATAATCGGGGCGAACCGGGATTCGAACCCACAATCATAGGTTTCTGGCGTGTCCAGGGACGCAACTCTGCACAGCGAATCGCGGCGCCTTAGACGACTGGGCCACCCGTGCCCCCAAATCGTGTTTGAAAACGTGTAGTTTGGGAAGATAAGCCATGTGGGGTCCGTCTCTACATATGAAGTTGACAGTGACAACCAGGACAAGGTGTTGAGTGAGTTAGTGGGTGGGCTGGTGAGTGGGTGAGTGAGTGAGTGAGTGAGTGAGTGAGTGGGTGGGCTGGTGAGTGAGTGGGTTCGGCTGGTGAGTGAGTGAGTGGGTGGGCTGGTGAGTGAGTGAGTGGGCGGGCTGGTGAGTGAGAGAGTGGGCTGGTGAGTGAGTGAGTGAATGAGTGAGTGAGGTGTAAGGACGTTTTCGACAATATTTCAGTGATATCACGGCGACTCAGCTTAATGTGGGAGGTACACCCGAAGTGATGCAGGTCGTAGATGTTCATTGCCTTGGTCAAACCCACGAACATGAGTATCGTGTCGACAAACCTAGAAACCTAATCATGGCGAATCGGGGTGTGCAACCAGTGATCAAAGGTTTTACGAAGGCCTCTGCACATCGAATTGGCCTATGATCACGGGTATGGTGCTGTAAATTATTATTTAAATGCGTTCAGAAGAAACTAAAGATAACTCATACCTTATTAATTACACTAATATATGAAGGTCGGTTATTATAATCTACTAAACAATACAGTGTAGTCCAACATGTATTTGGGTGACTGTGAACAGTACAAACCGCTACGAGCGTGGGGAAATGCACGGAACGCCAGCATGGGTCTTGCTCTGTGCATAAAACATAAGATTGTGTAGTGAGCGTGTTCTTGCTGCACCTGTGCAAGGGTTTTCTCTTCTTGTTGGTGGAGTGGTCGAGTGACAACTTCTCTTCCTTCTACACTGTTCTTGTGAAATATTAAAAACTCTTCTTGTTTTCGCTTTCCGTATACACAACACTTCCTGACATGAGAGAGGACGAGTTATTGTCTTGTGAGTGAGCAATGTTTTACGCCCTTGAACGGTATTTCATTTACTTCAGGGCGTGCCAGCTTTATGTGGGAGAAAACCCCAGGTGATGACTGTTACTAATTGGGTGAAACCCACCAACTCGGGCATGGAGCTGGCACACCCAGAAACATGATCAGGGTCCATTTTGGGTTCCAACCCACGATCTTATGTTTCTGACAGAACTCTGCCTAGCGCCTCAAACGACTGGGCCGCTCGTAACACCTGTCTGACATGACGAGCGAGGGGAACGGAGGACATTCGAAAAATACAGGTTGTGTGATAGTTTTGACATTGGAGATGAATTCCACTATATTTTCAAATGTGAATAGGGGCGGTCGGGTAGCCTAGTGGCTAAAGCGTTCGCTCGTCACGCCGAAGACCCGGGTTCAATTCCCGACATGAGTGCTATGTGTGAAGCCCATATCTGGTGTCTGATATTGCTAAAAGCGGCGTTAAACCATACTCACTCACTCACTCACTCAAATGTAAATATTTCAATGAACAAAGGGACATGTACATCCCAAAACACTATTTAAAAAGGCCAAATATGTTACAACTCCAGCAATTATTTGTCATAAGATATCTGTCCAAAACAAACTATGTAAATTTATTAACATTATAATGAAAATTGTAAAAAACTCCCAGTTAACCTCTGTCCACCGCAATGTAAAATACTGTTTGTACCTTGTATGCCGATGCGCTCGGCCTGAGAGAAATAAAGTGCTGTTCTGTGGTATTCTGGAGCACTTTGTGTCCTCCATATTTCGTCAACTCCGGCTGAATGATATCACAAGTTGTACTTCTTACAGCGCGGATATCTTCCCTCACCTATACAAACCGAACACCTATATACCAGTAGTTGTGTGAAAATTGATGTGTATAATTTTAACACGAACATTTTGTACAACTATCAAGTGAGGGAATAGATTTTAATCTGTCATCGACTGTTTACGGGGTGCTGGAGCAAGCAAACCAGTGGTTGATAGTGTGAGAGTCAAACTGCACACTCAGCCTTCCATAAAAGTGCACATTCTTCCTTGATTTCCGCGTACAGTAAACTACGGGCATAACGAAATCAAAGGGGCCAGAAATTTTAGTTCGTTATAAGCGTAGTTCGTTATAAGAATATACACAGCATATATATGACAAATGATCGGGACCAAACTATAAGTTCGTTATCATTAGTTCTTTAAAGAGCGTGTTCGTTATAAACATAGTTTACAGTAACTGCATCTACCTCGTGGACACAAATGGACAACAACAGGCAGATTTAAGCCTTGCAACGTTTTCCTATCGTTTGTAATTTGTTGGTCAAATCCAATTTTCAAGGGACCATTTTCTTTTGTCCAGCAGATCACATAAATCAATAACAGTAGTTCAGATTCATGTGGCACCAAAGACGATCTGAGCTTTAGTTCACCCCAGTGGTGTCAAAGGTAGACTATAGATATAGATTATAGTTAAAAATCCCCGGTCCATATACATAGGAGTTTCACGCCGCACTTAGCAATATTTCAGCTATTTGACGGCGGTCTGTAAATAATCGAGTCTGGAGCAGACAATCCAGTGATTGGCATCATGATCATCGATCCACGCAATTTGGAAAGTTTTACGATGACATGCATCAACCAAGTCAGCGAGTCTGACCACCCGATCCTGTTAGTCGCCTCTTACGACAAGCTCGTCACCACTTGGCTGAAATAATGCCAATGTGACGTTACATTTTAACCCACTCACTCACTCTCGCAACAAGGAAAGTCGCTTTTTACGGCAGGCATGGGTTGCTGAAGACCCATTCTAACCCGTATCTTCACTGGTATGTTTCGAAGAGAAATATGAAGCCAGTTTTAATATAACTGAATCATCTTGTTCAAACCGCCAACGTTACAGCTACGTGTGGACTCGGTATGCATGTTATCAATGTGGACAACAAGCCCCGCATGGCGTGGGCTATTTATAACCACCCCGTTCTCGTGTCCTCACACTCAAACATTTTACAGACGATTCATTGAGTATTGAATTGAACACAAGTTTTTTGTTAAAAAGTAAATGCATACATTAACAACGATGTTTGTTTCATTGGAATAATACTTCTGAAAACATAACACGACTAGTGTTTCTAAACGGCGAGTTGGTTATTTCACAAGTCAAACGCTGTTTGCACGTAGAGATCGATTTAGCGCCTGACTCATATCAAGAGCACATAACTCTACACAATATTCGCAAGTGTTGATTCAATTATTCGGTAGAGCTCCTGCTAGCTGTACAATGCCAGTGTTCCCTCCGTTAGATTTAGCAATGGTGTCTTATATTAAAATATATTATACACCAAGCCGTTAAGGTTAACCATATCTAAACAAGAACTGAAATAGGAAGCTGAAGGCGCAACGTGTATAGTACGTCGGCGATGAAGACTACGTTGTGCCTACGTTGTGTCGACGTTGTGCCTACGTTGTGTCGACGTTGTGCCTACGTTGTGCCTATGTTGTGTCGACGTTGTACCCACCCGCTGACTGACAGTACTCGGAGGGCCACCCTGTCGAAGAGACACAAGGTAGACGACAGAACACACAGTGAGTATAACATGACAGTTGACTAACACCATGTGACAGTGGGCAATACTGTTCACTGCCGGAGACGATTCTCTGTTTAATCTGGGTGTATATTCTTTACACAGGCCACTGTCGTGTCCCACAGTTCACAGTTACTTTGTATGAAAACACTACAGTCTGTATCTCCATGTACGTTTATAGAAGCTGTCACTTGAGTGTGTGAAATCATTTGTAACCAGAATTTTATTGAGGACGAATATCATTTTGTGCTTATATGCAATGCTTATAGTGATTTAAGAGCTGAATACATTTCTCCTAAATATTTTACAACCCCTTCTAAAAATAAATTTAATGCTCTTATGTCATCCACTAACTTTAAAATTATACGAAATCTAGCAGTCTACGTTTACAAAGCTTTTCGACTTCGGTCATTACATACAGTCTAAATATTTATTTGTATATATGCATGCGTATGTGTATGAATGTGTATGGATATGGATATATATGTAAAATAGTGGTAATTCTTTTTTCTCCCTCTCTCTGTTAATAGTTCTGTGTAATAGGCCTACGGCCTAACACTTTTTGTGAATAAAACAATTACAATACACTCGATTGTCACTGACAGTAGTTCACAGGGTATCGGATGCCATTTGAGTTTTAATGCATAGTAAACGTTACAGCTACACCATCTTCCCGAGTCAAGGAAGTTAACTGACTATAAAAGTCCAGTTTCCACCCTCCCCGAACTAGGCTGAAATTATGGAGTTATATTTTGGTCGATTGCAGGACTTGTAAAGCATGTGTACAGCCAACTCGGGGTCAACAGCTATTTTCCAAATCTTTTCAGGTTTTTAATCAAGGTACTCATGTCATTTGATGCACTTCGCGATGTAAGAACCGTTTTATCACAATATAATTTTGATTATCGATCAGATTATTTCGACTGCGCGCCGTCATTTTGTTTGAAGCAAACGCAAGTGATATGAGATGTGGAATCTGATTGGTCAATAGGAGGGTTATAGAAGGAACGTAACTCGTAATAGCCACTGGTGGCGCAACGATCGAGAAATGCCAGTCTAGTTCGGAGAGGGTAGGCTTTTACAGTCAGTTGACACCTTGCTTCGGGAGGAAGCAGCTACACATGTACTGTGCATATAATCTAAATGTACAAAAAAAACAAAACAAACACTGTTATTTGGTGATTACTTCAAAGAACTTACGTTTTTTGTCAGGCATTGAATAATTCGTCGTGAATAGGGTCTTGGGGCAAGTCTGAAGTCATCGCTACGCTTTGTTTCACGACAAGAACACGGAGCTGTGCAAAAGAAATTTTCAAATGTTTCTAAACTTTCTCATTACAGAAGCGGCCATGGAAAAGTCAAAGAACTTGTTTTCCGAGGCATGCCTGACCAGTGATGTGGCGCTTGTAGTCGAGGGTAAAAAACTGCACGTGAACAAAACAGTACTTTCGCTTGCATCTCCAGTCTTTGAAAAAATGTTCTTTGGGGAATTCAAAGAGAAAACCTTATTAGAAGTTCCCCTACCCGGGAAGACATACGACGACATGGTAGAGCTGCTTCTGTGCATTTACCCATCGACCACCAATCTGATCACAGCAGACAACATTGACGCACTACTTCCATTAGCGGAGGAATACCTTATGACGTCACTAAAACAACGCTGTCGCACGTTTGTCACAACCTACCTGAAACTAAACGTGAAAACTTTATCCAAGTCTCAGCTGGTACATTTCATGCATCTAGCAGACAAATATGACTTTGATGATGTTCTTGAGGATTGTCTGACCCAGGCTGTGTACATTGAATACAGTGATGTCAATGGGCTACAACACCAGGAGGGGTTCCAAGATCTCTGCGACAAGACAGCTGTCCAGTTCTTTAAGCGACGATTGGTGTTGGTGGAGGGACTTGTCAGACCGGTTTTGGAGAGCTCCACCACTGCTTCCGGGAACCTCCAAGAGGACTTCCAGACTATCATCAGCGGCAAGTGTAACGAGTTCTCCCACCGCCATGCAAGGCACGAATGTCGAGAATGTAAGGCTGTGTGTTGCGGGCGATGTCGGAAGCTCGGCACTGAAGCGATGGAAGATTTAGCTCACGTTATCAAGAATATGCTGCCTGCTTTCAAAGAGTCTGAATAGTAATCGTTTTACAAGTCAGACGTACATTTTGATCTTGGGATGCAGACATTCACAAAAACTGGAGAATGTCAGTTATGAATTGGAGAATAAAACATGTTTCGCCTCAGTCAATAGCACAAAAGCAAAATCAAGGCGACCTGTAAATATACGAGACCTGGCCAACCATTGGCTTAACACCGATCAATAGTTTCCATGTACATACTCAAACAGTTGACACCGGATCCTCATTTAAGTCGTCTTTTACACCAATCCTGTTTATTTGGGACGTCCACAACGAGGACTTTGTTAACGACAAATTGTGGGACACGTGAATGTTGTTAATCCACGTGTATTGTCATCGTGCATAATCATCAGTTTGACGGTAGTATGTTTTATATAGTCGTTTACGATGTTTTGACAACTTTATGTTTGATACACGCGTGAATCATATTATACATGTATGTATCTGAAAAAGAAATAGGTGTTCTTGTGTTTGTAATATGCCAGGTCAAATGTTGAAATGCTAGCTGTCTTCTAAGCGTCAGCACCATTACCTTCTAGAACGTTCAGTCTTATATTGTAATGTGTACATGAAATAACAGGACGGCAGTAGTATATAGGCAGTACTTTGGATCTGCGTACACGACTTGTGCCACTACGTAGGTGGCATCACATTGAATTATACTACACTGCCGGGCAAAAGAAAATATACTTATGGTTGATGGTGGCTTAATTGAAAAAACAAGAACTGGTTATTCGATAGTGATGTATTTGATACGGGTATCACAGTTGTGTTTTGTGCCTTAAGTTTGCAGTGTTTCGGCGACTGTTTTCAGCCTAGTAACGTTTTGATAACGTTTGTAATATTTCGGCAAAATCCATTTTGCAAGTGTCTTTTGCCCGGCAGTTTACACTAAGCAATAACAACAGTTTAGTTTCACGTTGTATCAGAGACCATGTGAGCTATACTTCAGCCCAGGGATGTCATGCAACTAAGTCCTCAGGTCCACATACATATGCCAGAGTTTAACAAATTCGAATAAATCTTGGTTTTTAGCAGTTCATATCTCTTGTAAATAGAATGTTTGACACATAAATATCAAACGTCAGCGTCAAAGAATAGTCAGCGTCGATTGTCTGAGGAAACAGATTCCTTTGGGCGTAAAAAGCAAAATCGGTGTGAAAATGATATGAATGGATCACTGTAAATCTGCGATTGCACCAGGTGTTCAGGATATGAACAGTTTTACTGTGACAGAATCATCTTGTTCAAACAGCCGACGCTACAGCTTCGCAAGGACTCTTTGTGTATGTAATGTATATGTAAAACAAACACCTCACGACATTGGCTATTTATAGCGACCTCGTACTAGTGTTGCCATGCTTAAACCTGTATACAGACGAATCAATTGGTATTGAACGGGACACACGTGACACGATCGACGAACGTACTCTTTAAGTGCATACGTTCAAGAGCAGATAACTCTGAACATTATTCGCCACAGTTTTGATGCAAATTCCACTTCCTGCTGTAAAGTGCCTGGTGTCTGCGTTGTGGTCTGTGGCCTTGGTGACTGCCTACTCGCTACCCTGCTCAAGAGATACAAGGTTGACGATAGTGAGTATAACATGACAGTGGCCTGGCACCATGTGACTAGTGTACAATACTGTTCACTGCCGGAGACGCTTCCTCAGTTTTATCCGGAAGTATATTCTATTGTTTTGAGGGGCGGTCGGGTAACCTAGTGGTTAAAGCGTTCGCTCGTCACGCCGAAGACCCTGGTTCGATTCCCGACATGGGTACAATGTGTGAAGCCCATTTCTGGTGTCTCCTGCCGTGATATTGCTGGAATATTGCTAAAAGCGACGTAAAACCATACTCACTCACTCCTTCACTCTATTGTTTCGACACCCTGGCGGTTTTTACGGATAAACGGATTCGGATTCTCGTATGCTGTGTATTCTCAGAAAAAAAACACCATCGGTGGTACATGAGTATACATTACAATACAGTTCCTGAGGCCTAGATAACATACAAGTAGGGATCCTAGACGATTGCGTAATGTTGCCGTCTGATGAAAAAAAAGAAAACTACTATTAGATCTACCATTAAAAAAGGGTTTGATTCTAAACAAAGTATCAAAATATACACACATTACGGGAAAAATTAGTTTCACAGGTGTGAATTAACTGTTAATTGAATAAAACTATTATATCTGTCTGTGACAGCTGGCTTATTCACTCACCTAAAAAAACAACGAAAACACATTTAAGTACCGAACTAATGCAGTTAATATTTTCATAAAATATGTTTTCACCTCTGTATACAATAAGAAATAGTATGAATAATGATAAAGTATTTAAGAATAATGAAAAAACACCAGACTCTGCCCAAACAAGTAAATGGTCCATCAGTGTCTGGAGCTCATGGGCGTCTGCTACACCAAAATATGATATTTCCTTACAACTATTAATAAATGACTTGGTCTTCATGATATAGCGGCCCCAGAGAATAGTATTTAGAGTTACATCCCCTCACTTTCTTGACAACTTGTTTTACAGCAGAAAATAGTTATTGCCTGACGCCGAACATGCAGTCATGCGACAATTCCGAAGTAGATGTCTTGATCAATTTGAGAATGTGCTTTACGAATCTTGACCCCCCATAATATAAAGCTCAAAGTGTGCTAAGAATACAAATTATGAAAGGTAATACGTCAAATTGTGTGCATCTGTTCAAAAGCCGAAGACAATATTAGCGGGAAGACATGATTAATAAACAAAAGTCTGTTGTCGTGTGCAACTCAATGCCAACAAACCACTTTTTACCAATATTCAGTCACATTACCTGTCGAGATGAGTGTATTTGGCCAAAGCTGAA